ACAAAGGGCAAAATCTTCATAATAAATTGTTTTGTTTTCTTAGAAAACTGTTTTTCAAGAAAAGACTAAGCCATTAAATACTTGTAAAACCTTTATTTATTCTTGGAAATGTGAAAAAAAAAAAAAAAATCCAAACTACTGTTTTCTATTTTGAAAAAAATTGCATTTTAAGGTATTTTAGATTGATGTAGAAATAATCACTGAGATAAGTATAATGACAGGTCTGAAAATGATGCAACAAATCAATTATCCATTCTTGCAGAAATAAATTTGGTAGGAGGGGTCCTGCTACAAAAGCAATGATAGATATTTGTTCTTCTGGAAGTCTTTGGTATAACATGCTTTATAGGGTAGGATTTACAATGCATATTTTAGTGGCATTTCTCTAAAACAATACAAAGAAATCTATAGACTGGGAAAAAATATTTGACAATGACATATCTCATAATGAGGTGATAATTAAAATTTATGGACAATTCTAGGCCCTTAACAAGAAATAGATAAACATAACTATTAAGTGGGTAGAAGATACTGAATTTTCATATAGTGCTTGTGGAAACGGAAAACTGTGCAACCATTATGGAAATCAATTTGATGTTTCCCTAAAAAATTAAAATAGAAGTATTATTTTATCCATTTATTCCATTATTAGGTAAATGTCCTAAACAAATAACTTCTTACAGAAAAACAGATAAAAGCACACCCATCAGGAGGTAGGGGGAAATACCTCCATGTTTATTGTCGCATTATTTATAATAGCAAAGAGATAGAAACAGGCCAACTTCTCAGTAACAAACCAATGGATAGAAAAGCCATGGTAAATTTACGTAAAGTAGTACTATACAACAATGGAAAAACAATGAAGAATTTTTGTTTTTTGGTGTTTTTTTAAATTAAATTTTATTAGTTTTAATGAACATTTACAGAGATTTTGGGTTTTCGTTCATTCATTGTTGTACTGTTTTCACCACCCTCCTCCCCAGTTCGTTCTTCTTTCCCCCCACAATGTCTGTTTTAATTGTCCAATTGCCACTGTCCTTATCAAAACCAGTTCTGATTAATCTCCTTTGTCAGTGTGTCCCTTGCCATTCCCTA